TGATTTATAAATTTAAATAATTTTTTTGCCCAATCTAGTTGTCACAGTAAGTACATTTAATTGTTTTTATACTTCCGATTTGTTGCATATCTTTGTAGTGTTATCTATGGCATTGTCGCAGGTTTGTTGTTATTGTCTATAATATTAAAAAGTTATTTTTGTTCAGTAGCTTAGTTTGATTGGAGTGTGTTTGAATGTGTTACTTATTGCTTTGTTTACGTTTAGTTAGGTTTTACGGAATGCATATACATTTCATTTATTCTTGTTGTCTTTAATTGTCTTTAAAATTGGTATCAATAACTAAATTTTAGTGTGTCCAAACTATAAATATAATTCTTTTGAGATTGGCGTAATTAACATGATGAAAAAGTTGTTATTTTCGTGATCAGGAGGCGTAAAATTGTATTTCATATGATATAAACTAAAATTCTATTACTTTATAATATTGGAAATTTCACTTGTAAATGTTAATGCTTTTTACCTTTACTTCTTTAGTTAAGATATAACTGGACGATTTCTTGGCGAACGAAAATATTTGTGTAAATAACTATGATGTACCTAAGTAATTATGTAAATGTAAATAACTATGTTAAAGTAAGGTCATATTAATTTTTGATAATTATGTTTTATTGCACACTTTTAAATTAGATGGTTGTCATTATTTAAGCGATTAAATGTTTATTGTTTGTAATAAAACCATTTTTCGTAATCGATAAATTGTGTCTCTTTGTGATATTGTTTAACTATTAAGTCCAATAATTAACCATAACCGAGCACTTATCGGCCCCGTTATTGTAGTAATATAATACGTCATATTAAAGTACGGTATATACTTTCATTATTCAATAGCAAGTGTGGTTGGTTATAAGTTAGCGTGTCGGTAACGCAGTGCAGTTTGAGACAACGTACTGCGTTTAACCCACGACAGTGCTGCGAGCCGCGGACGGCCCGCGCAATACATCGTGCAGGCCCAACTAAAAACTCCCACGGTTTTATACACGCGGCTGCCTATCTCATTATATTACTTCATCTATGGTATTACTTTGTGTGAAAATGTTAATAGAATATTCCGAATTCAGAAGGGCCATTAGAATTTTGCATCATATTCCGGTTGATGAGCACTGTCAACAAATATTTCAAGAATCAAAATTATTAACTTTACCTTGTCTTTATATTTATGAATTATGTAAATACTTCATGCAAAATAGCTTTTTGAAAATCACACAAATGCGTATAACACAAGACGTAGTTTCATAATATATCCCTCGCACTCAACAGGAAGATTTGAAAAATCTCCTGGTTATATGACCCGTAGGGTAATTAATCAATTCTTATTATTAGAAAAAGACACAGACTTTAACAATTGCTTTTTGAAGAAGGTCAGGCAATATTTGTATGACAATGCATTTTATACTATGCCTCACTACTTTGTGAATAAAATTACGGACGTTCAAAAATGCAGTTTTGTGCGATTTTTGTCAAGTATCCGTCCAAGTTTTTATCACATAACCATCTATGAAATAACGAACAGCTGTTCGGATCAAGATTATTTTTTCTAGCTGTCACTGATATGTTTACAAAAAATGTTGTTTACAAATACCGCAACCATTTCCGATCACGTTTTGAAGGCAAATCCCAACCAAGTGAGATTAAAAACGTTTTTCTTACACAACGGATTTAATTAATCGCAAGTGGAATAATATAGTGTAACCGTAAATGAAATTAAATAACTAGGCATCATCCCGGTCAGGAACCAGAAATTCTTTGTGTATAAAATTGTTCTTGAGTTTTGATAACCAGAAAGAAGACCTTGAATCAGTGTTGTATAGGGCTGGGAAACTTAAATTTATTAATGATCGTCACCAATAGCTTACAAAAAAAGTTTCCACTCATTGACGGCGCTTCAATGGTGGTTGTGTAAAGTGTAAAGTAAATAATCACACTGCAGTAGGTGATTGTAACAGAGGTTTACGGTTTATGGATGATGCTAAACTCTCTTTTCCAATGTGTCACTTTTTGTTCCTACTCACCGTGTGATGCAATTGCTGGACCATACAGTAATTCTTAACTGTAAACGTTGGTTTTTGGTACTGGTTCTTTTCCTTAGAACCGTTGTTAGCAGCAAGAATCATTTTTACGTACCAATACACATCACTGTAATTTACAAATTAGCTATCGTTGGTGTTGCACCTTATTTATACAGTCGTATTGCAGCCGTATTCAATTTTTGTTCAGCAAAACATCATGAATTGTTTACGATTTACGTTGTTTATGTATCAATAGTTCGTGGCCTATTTTGGTAATGTTATTATAAATTACCAATCTAAATCGTCTATAGTACTTCATTTCATATAGTAAGCCGTCATTTCGACAGCATTTCGGGTCATCTTCGGTCCAAGCAAATATAAATTGTTATGATAAAATTTGATGACATTGACAAAGATTTCAAATACTAATTTTATATGTACTTTGTTATGCTTAAAACGTAGCAAATTCCCTAATTAAGTTCTGTATTTTTATGTGTGTATGTCTGTTGGTAACGCATTAATGTACTTATTTCTCAGAGCAGGGCCGTCGCGTGGGTGGGGCAACCAGGGCGACCGCCCTGGGCGCCGCGGTCAGGGGGGCGCCGCGGCAAAAGTAATGCAACAAAATTTAAAAAAGTTAGATGCACATAACATATTTTGGAAAGTTATGTATAACCACGAATACTAGTTCTATTATTTGTGTGTGTAACTGAATGTTGAATATTACGTTGTATGCCTTTATTGAACAAATAAATATTATTTGATACCAATCACTTTATAATTAGCAATGTTTTTCAAATTAAATATCCAATATAGTATTGAATTAAATTTAGTAATAATAGCCTAAACAATCAACTCCACTGTTGAGTTGAAGGCCCTGTGCCAACTTAATTATCTTTGTATTGCAATGTCTTAATTAGGCTATCTTAATATTGCAATGCCGCGGTTCGCGGTGTTGCTCTGTACACGTAGCTGCCGTATTCTATTTTTATGTCACCCGACCAGCCGACGGTTGACCTTGGGAACCACCCCTACCCCAATCACTCCTTTCTCCTACGGCAGTCTCAGCTGAGCTGCCAGCTTAGTTTGACGAGTTATCTATATATTTAATACGCTAGACATATTTTTGTCATAATTATTTTGAAGCTGCTATGCATCGGTTTACCAAGTTTGAGGTATCGTTGGATAGGGTGCGGCACGTAGATTTCCCATCTATCAAAAAATCTTTGAAATTCACTGCAAAACACATTATTAGGGTTCAGTGAATTTTAAAGTGAACTGACAGTACAGCAGTTACACGGGGTTGGCTTATTATTTAGGTTATCATCAATTAATCAAAAAAGAATCTTTACTGACTTTCACAAAAGAAACTGCAAAACTGCGAACTCAATTAGGCCTTTATACATCACCAGCTTTAGCAACAAAACCAAGAAACGAGATAACGCCAAATAAAAAAAAATCAATAAAAATCCTTCTTCTCCTTTGTCTGAATTGGCACGATTTCGTGTAACAGGTTCTCTAGTTTACATTTAATGTTTAGGATCTCATATCTAAATGTGATAACGTGGTTTTCTTTTATTCTGAATAAAATTCTATACACATTAGGTTTGGTTTGAGGTTTTGCATACATTGAATTAATTTCAATTTGCTCTGTATTAATTAATAACATATACAGTATAGAACTTTTTATACATTTTAACATTTTCTTACATTAATAGGGATTTGGTTATCATCAATTAAAAAAGATTTGCATACAAAATTTAAGTAATTTATCCCTAATAATCAATCCCAGATTCCTGACTCTAGTATTTTTATAAGGTGATTCAGTCCCTTTAGGTGTCTGTTTTTGGGGATTAAAACAAAGATAGCGACATCATCACTCATTGTGTGTTGGGGGGGAGGGGGGGGGGGGCGCCTGGCAACATCCCGCCCCGGGCGCCAAAAAGCCACGCGACGGCCCTGTCTCAGAGTCACGAAAAGGACAAGAGCACCTTTGATCATGAAAATGTCAACCCGAATAAAGTGTTAAATGGTGAGGTTGAGGTAGTACTTTAAATACTTTTAACCATTGTGGGAAGTAACTTTCAACTATTAGGCCTACTTTAGGGCTATGCCTCATAGATCTAGGCCTATAAAGCTTTTTTTAGTTTAATCATTGGATTTAACATATGGACCAACACGATCCGGGTGACATTTAATTGCGAAGCATTTGTTTTGGCTTGAAACTGTCAGATACTGTTTTTGCGAAGGTTAATATATAATAGGTTTGCCAGTATTTCTGAAAATATGCAAACCAACTGTTGTTCTTAATATAAGAAGGTTTCAACTGACTACTATAAGATCCCCATGCGTAGAACGGGCAATGCTCCCCCAGCTCCCCCAGGGGATGGAATATTGTGTGTTCAGTGTCTCTTCAGTATTATCAGAAGGTTATTGTTGTTGGTAGGCCATAGAACACACAGCTCCCCCAGGGGATGAAATATTGTGTGTTCAGTGTCTCTTCAGTATTATCAGAAGGTTATTGTTGTAGGTAGGCCATAGAACACACAGCTCCCCCAGGGGATGAAATATTGTGTGTTCAGTATCTCTTCAGTATTATCAGAAGGTTATTGTTGTTGGTAGGCCATAGAACACACAGCTCCACCAGGGGATGAAATATTGTGTGTTCAGTGTCTCTTCAGTATTATCAGAAGGTTATTGTTGTAGGTAGGCCATAGATCACACAGCTCCACCAGGGGATGAAATATTGTGTGTTCAGTGTCTCTTCAGTATTATCAGAAGGTTATTGTTGTAGGTAGGCCATAGAACACACAGCTCCACCAGGGGATGAAATATTGTGTGTTCAGTGTCCCTTCAGTATTATCAGAAGGTTATTGTTGTAGGTAGGCCATAGAACACACAGCTCCACCAGGGGATGAAATATTGTGTGTTCAGTGTCTCTTCAGTATTATCAGAAGGTTATTGTTTTCTTACCTGCAAAAGTGCACCGTTGACACCAAGCCGGTTTGAATGGGTGAGCTGAGTCACTTGTCTGGCTGCCTCTATCATCTTGTCATAATTGTCTCGAAAGAACAAAGCTACAGGGGCCACCCTCATGGCACCTCCATTGCCATAAGACCCGGAACCGTTAAACTGTTGGTTTGCTGGACGCCAAATATCTTCATACTTCTCATTTTTCAATTTATAAAATACTTCCACCACATTCTGGCCATAACCACGTTTTGGTTGTTTAAAATACTCTGCAACAAACCTAATCAAAGATGTAGCTTTTCCTTAGGATAAAGAATGTATAGTTAGATACTACAACACTGGCACAACACAGAGTATGTAGTTTGAGGCAATGATGAATGATTGAGGAGTGTTAAATGAATAATACAGCATCTTTATTTATTAAGGTCAGCTGATTCTTTAGCCAGAATCATTTATATATAAAGACTAGCAACAGAGCCCGTTGTGGTTAAATACAACGGTCTCTAGTAAAACTAGCTATTACCATAGACAAAAAGAATTAAATATAGACTGTCAGCCGTGCTGCCGTTACCATGGTTACCATAAGTTCCGGCGCACACCGCTGTAGTTTACGTAGCGCGTACGCCGTAAATACATGGCGCTCCAAGCGGTGTGCGCCAGAAGCTATGGTAACCGCAGCACAGCTGACGGTCTATATTTAATTCTTTTTGTCTATGCTATTACCCACGGGCTTCACCCCGTTTGACATCATAAGTAAGTATTAATAAAACTATTGATTGGTTAAGTTAACCTAAAATACACAAAATAAAGTAAAAGAAACAAATAATCACACCTGATTTTAATAAGGTAATAAATTGAAAGAATAACAAACAGATAAGTACAGCCAGTGGCGGCGGAACCAGGGGGTCAGGGGGGTCAGTTGACCCCCCTGAAATTTTAGGAAGGGTCAGGGGGGTCAAGGGTCAGGGGTTCATATAAAAAATTTAAAGATATAAAGCATTCCGTACTGTATACGTTTATTTTTTCGGCCCAAGAAGAAAAGTATAAGTAGGCCTAATAACAGTTACTGAAGATAAGTACAAAGACAAACGTTCCACGATGACGCAGAAGAGATTGAACCATCTTGCCATCTTATCCGTCCATAGGGACATTGCTAAATCTATTGATGATAAGCACATTGCAAGAATGTTTCTCAATAGAGTTGAAAGTTGCTGTGCAGTTTTCGGGAATTTCAAAGACTGAAGTTCAAGTTAGGGCCTACTGAAGTTTCATCAGCAGAAGTTTAAAAATCTAGTAAATTTGTAATAGGCTAATATCTTGAGATAATATCTATTCTTAGTAATTTTATGTTGTGCCAATACAATGTTTGTAATGTTTTTTGTGTAAACCATTATTTATCCCCAGTGGACACACTTACTTGGTTATACCCTACCTTCTTACTTTTGTGATTAACTATAATCAAGCAGCCAATTTTAATTTAACTTATTATTAATTCAGTTTTGAGGGGGAGGGGCAGAGCCTGCCGAAATTACGCAAACACATAAATCCCTAGGGCCTAGAGCTTGTTTACTCTTCTCTGTCGTCTGCAGCAACTCATTGCTGACATCTTTAGTAAAATCTGGGCACCAGTACTTCATTTTATGTTTGTTTGAGATGTATGTGTATTATTTATTATAATGTTTTTACAATGAACAGATAAGCGTCTTTGTTAAATTGTAAATTTTCTTTGTTACTGCTTAAAGAAAAATGTTCTTCAGGTAGCCTAAAAAAACGTTTTTAAGGCTTTTATTTTTCAAAATTTTCCCGGGGGAGGACCCCCCGACCCCCCTTGCCAACCTGGGGGGTATTCCATACCCCCCAGACCCCCCAGATGTGGACCTCCACCATAGGTTTCTGACCCCCTAACAAAAATTTGCTTCCGCCGCCCCTGAGTACAGCTGAGGTATTTTTAACATTAGGTATATGAAAAGTTCCCTTTATAAAGGAATTACAACCTTAAAGGGCAATTTATGAAATAATGGATAATTTTGCGCAAGGTTTCTCGTCATGACAAACATTTTAAGTATATGGTTTATGAGGGTGTGACTTGTAGTTTTCTCAAAAGTTCATGGGTCCTTTTGGCTTTATATATAGATGGTTAATGGGGGTGTGACTTGTAGTTTTCTCAAAAGTTCATGGGTCCTTTTGGCTTTATATATAGATAATGGTTATGAAATCCATACTCCACTTTACTCACTAATATTAATGGTACAGATTAAGCACATAACATTAGAATCACACACTTAACATAAGGAACACACTTTAAACACAAATGCAAATTGTTAGCAACAACATTCAATAAAAAAATCAATTGAATAACAATATACGAATAAGCTGTTCAATTAATTATTAACACATGTTTTGTATGGTTAGATTATGCATAATGGTAAACCAATTATTACCATCTATAAAATTTATTGGTTTTTCTTTTCCGAGTCGGGTTAGCTCTTCTACCCGACCGATTTTCATAATTTTGGCCTTAAACTAAAGGTATGGACGCACCACAGATTTGCCATCAAGTATGTTAACGTATATTTCGAGTTATGCACAAACTGCCTCCCTGTACATTCCTTATGGGAGTTAAATTTGTTTTTTTCGAGTTCGTTTGGCTCTTCTACCCGACCGATTTTCATAATTTTGGTCTTAAAATAAAGCTATGCAAGCACATATTTGTCATCAAGTATCATCATCAATTTATCTAATGTATTACTCGACAAATAATATAAATTTAATTTTTTTTACTTCAATTAAAGATGTATTTCAGCAGTTCTAATTACATAAGTTAACTCTAAATGTTTTTTTCTGAAAACCTTTAGTGAAATACCAGCTTTCGTTTGAGCTATTGATTATAAAGATCGGACTACCTAAAGCAAACTGCAGAATCATGAATTAAGAATAATTATAATCGTTTTAGTACTTATCTGCAATCAATTATACTTAATTCTATTTTTATTTAAGTTATTTTATATGCCTTGGTCTTAAAATACTTCTAGAAATAAAGGTTTTCATTTGAGATATTGATAGTTTCAATCAGTTAAGTTCAAGATACTGTATCGCTCAATCAGAAAACATAAATTTGATTACATCTTGGATATGGAATTTAGTTTTAGATATATTTACTCAATTCTAATTACGCTAACATATTTGCCGTTCTCCAAAATATTATCCAAAAGCAGGTTCTTTTGACCTAAGAACCTTCAGTGAAATACCAGCTTCCATTTGAATTATTGATTATTAAGATCAGACGTACCTAAAGCACACTGCTAAATCACGAACAACCCAAATTGTTAAAAAATTTAGTTATTTATCATCGATTTATAGTCAACGATCTTGCCCTCAACCAACAATCATAAAGAATAATGATTGATCTCTGATTGGTCCTTTGATCTTGGACCTCAACAGTAACTGTTGACTTTGACGGGTTTCACCTGGTAATTCTTTTAACAAATCAAATTTTCATAATTATTAGCAAATCTACACTAATTACACTTTCCAATGACCTATTAATTATTAAAATTGGTTCAGTAGACCTGTAGATTTAATTGTACAAAGTTTAACCCTCCAAGTGTCCATAGTTTAGGCCTTAATGTCCACCTATTTTTGGCGCATTTGCAAGGTTTTATTAAAACGGATCTGAGAAGCTTAAAACAATGTTAATTCTAATGTTCTATATACCATTTTGTTTGGAAAATCATGGGCTTCAATATCATACATAAAACATAAGGAATATTTGTTTCAAACAAATTTTTTAGGTAAAAAAAAACTTTTTTGGAAAAATTGAAAAATAATAAGTTTGCGCTCAATGAAATTGTATAAATTATAGGCCTATAAATATTTGAAAATAGCCACTTTGTTCTAAATTTAATGAGGATTACAAATATATAATCATATAGTGAGGTAAGTTATCAAATAAATAAGTTATGAGTGAAAAACGGATTTCAGTACATAGCGTTTAGCTAAGAATGCATAGCCTAACCATAGCTAGGAATCTGGCTGATAATTTACATCAATATCACTACCTACTTCTTCAGGATCATCAACCAGCCCTTCAAAATCACTTAAATCTTCTTATAATGCACCACGTATATCACTACTTTTGATTTTTAACACTAAAACAATGATAAACGTAACAAAACACCTAGGGCTAGTGTCCTAGGGCTACTGTTACCTTGCGCGTTTGCTGATGCGTGTATGCGAGAGTGTGTGAATGTGTTTTTCTATTTGTTAAATTTTTATGTTTTTTTTTAGATATGTAGGTACTTGAATTGTTAAATATTTTATGTTTAATTAGATTAAGTTATCCCTATGTCACATTATTTATGTTATATTTTTAATGTCAGGTTAAGTGTAAGAAAGGGCCATGTGGCCCTAACATTGCCTGAAAAAATAAAGGATTTTTCATTTCATTTCATTTCATTCAAAACACATCAGTCATCGGTCCGAGGATAACCAAGCTGTTTACGAATACGCACGTCAGCTGTCTGCTACAATTACGATCGGCTCGGAGAACATACAGCGCTGAGACAGACCTCTGGAGAAAGCTTAGAATATAACGGAAAGAACGATACCTAACTCGATCCAGTTCAATCCGATTCAGTCAGTCATAGAGCCTTAGCCGTAAACGATGTTCGTGCGTCGAAAAATCGACGCGTGACACTACACAAAGTGTGTAGCGCGTCGATTTTTCGACGATGGACGCTCGGAGGGTTAACAACAACAACTTTTATTCAGTATTTCCCACCACTACAAATAGGGAGGTTCCTTAACGTTGTTGCAAATAACTTTGAAATGGTGAGGAAATCACCAAAGTGTAAGGTGATATTCTGATAGAGGATAAAATTCCCTACAAATTACTATTAAGTATTTCTTGAAAATACTCAATAAAGGCAGCCTTAAGTTGGCTACAAATATAAACTTGGAAAAAAAGGCATTTTAAATGTAATATTGTTTATTTTTATTGTTTTAGGTACCTAAAACATGTAATAAAATCAAACTTTCATAATTATTTGCAAATCTACACGAATTAGGCTTTCCAACGACCTATTAAATAACAAAATCAGTCCGGTAGAAGTCTAGATTTAGTTTTACAAAGTTTAACAAAAATATATGTAATTCAGTATTTTCTCACCACTATAAATTTGGAGATCACTTAGATTATTGCCAATAACTTTTAAATGGAGGGGAAATCGACCAAAGTGAATGTGGTATTCTGAAAGAGAATACAATTTACTACAAATAACTACTATGCATTTCTTGAAAATACTAAATAAAGGCAGACAAAAGCTGGCTACAAATAGAAACTTGAAAACAGAAACTTGAAAAAAAGCAGTGTTTAATGTATTTTTGTTATTTTAATTTTTTTACCACAAATATTTAATAAAATCACACTTTCATAATTATTTGCAAATCTACATAAATTAGGCTTTCCATTGACCCATTAATTAACAAAATCGGTCTAGTAGAAGTCTAGATTTAGTTGTACAAAGTTTAACAAAATTATCCCTAACTCAGTATTTTCTCATTACTATAATTTCGGAGGTTGCTTAGCTTTTTTGCAGATAACTTTTAAATGGTGAGGAAATCGACCAAAGTGGATGGTGATATTCTGAAAGAAAATAAAATTTCCTACAAATTGATACCATACATTACTTGGAAATACTCAAAAAAGGCAGCCAAAAGTCGCACACAAATAAAAAGTGTGAAAAACACCGTTTTCAATGCATTTCTTATGGAAAACATGTTTTTTTTTTAATTTTTCACCATAAATCATGACAAAAACCAACTTTCATAATTATTTGCAAATCTACACGACTAAAGATTTCCAACGACCCATTAATTAATAAAATCGAACCATCAGTAGAACTCTAGATTTAGTTGTACAAAGATTTTTAATATATAGAATAGATAGGAAGGTTTTGAACTTTTGAGAAAACCGTGGGCTGCACACCTATCAACCACATACTTGAATGAAAGGTCTTGATGTGAAACTTTCCCGAAAAATAAGTTTTTGGATAAACCTTCTCTTAAGATTAGGAGCCTCAATTAAACAGCTGTATTTAATTACGTTTAAAATATTGAAGATATTTCAGCTGTTAGATTTGTTTTGGTTTTAGTATGTTTGTTTACTTTTCCTTGAGTTAACCTTTTTTCTATCAGTGTTGTAGCGCTCCAGGGCGGAAGGACTCATTCATTTTTTTAAGAACTATTTGTAAGAGATATTTTACAGTAAGGCTTCACAATTTTACGAAATTGGTTTATCAAAAGAAGATACATAAGGAAAAGGTCCGAAGCCACTTAACAAAAACATTCTTAGGACGGTAAATAACATATGTATTATTGTAAACCAACAATAAAATTAAACTTTCTCTAAAAATATGTTTGTTCTTTATTACCTTGTCTTAGTTACATTAATTTTATAGACCATTATATATGAAATTATTAATCGACTTGGGCCAGTGTGTGTGAAAAAAATAACAGAACTCTTAACAAGGTGATTATTTTAACTATAGTTGAATTAAAATAAAGTTGTGAGGTAACAATATTTTAATCTGTTATACTACTATTACTTTTTACAAATCAAGTTATAACTATAAAAAGTGCATTTAGGTTAATTATCCATGATTAAAAAAGTTGCTCAGTGCCGGAGTCGGGCATGCCGCGGCGCACGCTTTGAAACCAAATTAGACCTAAATTCTCAGCTAGTTTATAACTAAACCGACAAACCTATAAAATTTTAAAAATATTATGATAAAATTTGGTTTATTGGCTAAAAGTTTCTCACAGACGAAACTAACCTGACCAATAAATAAAAAAAAGTAGCAGGCGTCTAATTTTTCACTGTCCCACATGCAATCTTAAGCTAACTTTGTTTAGTTAAGCGTTTATATAAATTTGTTAAATATATATTATATGTTTTTGTTTACACCATATACTTGGCCATAATATGCTATTCATTATTCCAAAATATTAAAATGTTATGTCCATTGTATGTTTACGGTGGTTTTAATGAGCCGCAGCGAATTAAATTTTGTGACAGTAGTGGCTCAGGTGAGCCTATGAGTGGTGGGGGAACAGCTTCATCTCCGATAATGTATTGGGCATAGGGATTGCCAGTCTATGTTATTCTTTGGTCGCTGCCTATGAGTTACAGACATGAGACGTTCCTACATTTAGTGATCAGTCTTGCAATTGAATACAATATGAACAAATTTTTTAGTTACTAAACTATGAATGCTATGATTTAAATAAGAAAATAAATTATTTAGCTTGCAGACTACAACACTCTATTTAAACCATTTAGAAAACAAAAACGATAGCTCAAATCAAATAGAAATTTTAAGGTTATGAAATAATTTGTTCCTTTGTTTTATTTAGAGGTTTTAAGTTCTTACAAAATTTTAAAAACTGTATAGTCCTTGAGACTTTTGCAAAAACAATTTTTCTTGCGGATTAGGTGAATATTTTCATTATACTGAGGGAAAAACGTTTGTTTTCAATTCTGCAACACTTTACTTTCGTTGGGAGGCTAGAGTAGTTTTCTCCATTAGACATAGGCCTAAAAGAATCTAGAGGCACGGGCAGAACAACTAGTTTGAAATCCATATCAAGGACAGCTAATGACAAGGATCAATGAAGAGGGATTAATTGATAAATTCAAACATAAGCTTACAACCATAGAGCAGATAAGTGGAGCCGTAATTTGATAATTTGATATAAAATTATTAACTATGAAGATGATGGGATAAAATGACAAAAAAAACTAATTTTTAGTCTAAAACCTGAACCCTTACTAGGGTGTCTGGTTTCTACCTGATTTTGAATGCCTGCCTACTCATGGTTATTTTATTCCAAAACTCGTATCATACCTTTTTGCCAAGTCCTTGCAATCCAAATCTCTTTTAGCAACTAATGACTCAGATATACACTTACTCATAGCTGTATCATCTGTATACATTTTCATTGGACCTAAAAATAAAATTGCATAATTATTTATATTAATGATAAAAACATGAGAAGAGAGCACAACACTCTATGTCTTAAAACAGTAGTAAATTTTTGTACGGATAAATTTCATAATTTAAAAAAAAAATTACTTTCATGAATTGATTTACATATACAGTGTGTGTACATCTAAAGTTTCAGGCAACTATGATAGGTGAGTTTCATCAGTATGAAAAACTAATAATAGTTTTGTCTTGTATTATTTTGTAAGCACATTAAGCAGAGAATTCTGAGAACAGATTAAGTCATGTCAAAATAATCACATTCTCACAACTCTTCCACTGTTAGTATCCCAGTAGGAATTTGTTGACACATAACTTTTTTTTTAAGGGAGGGGGGGGGAAATGTTTTTACGCACACAGGTAGCCAGTCTGTAGTGTTGCACTCCTGAATTTAACACAGACTACTCACTAAAAAACCCCCTCTACTCTGTTGGACACAAACCTGGAATTGTTTGTCACATTACTTCAAGACAGGCCAACATGTGACCTAAGCCCTCATGGCTCTCACCGTTTCTGGCATTTAGATTCTTTATGACCTACACAGCATCCCGGTCAAGTTTGAGCTTCTTGGCGCGGAGAATACCCTGGATGTAATGTTACACACGGGGTCCAATTGTCCTCACCCTTCGTCATCATCGGTATGACCGTGTCCACCGACAGCAGTCCTACTAACTGTTATGCCTCCTGGCGGGGCCTTTCCCAACGCTGGCAGTGGAAAAGGTATGTTCCACGTCATTGGGAATGCCTAGGCAGTATATGCAATCGGGTGACACGGCTTTGCCCATCCTGAACAGGTACGACCAGAAAAACCCGTGATCCGTCAAAAATTGGGTGAGGTAGAAGTTCACCTATCCTCACCGCCGATTAACCCAAGGTTGGACTTGCTGTATCAGTCGCCTGGTCCAGCGTCCCCGTGTCTCCTGTTCCCAGCTCTCCTGCCACAGCTGGTAGGTGCGGGTGCGTTCCTCTGTTAGTGCCTGGTCCTCCCCGCGGCGCTGATAAATAGCCTTACTCTCCGCCGCCAAAAGTTTGACGGGGATGACTCGAGTAACCACCAGGACAGCGGGTTCGAACACTGTTCGGTAGGTGGATGCTGCTCTTAGTGCTGCCTGACGCTGCACTCGGGCGAGCCACATCCTATATACCTCCTTATTGAAAGCGTCTGCCCAAACCTCCGCACCGTACACGAGTATGGACTGGACAGAAGACATTAACAGCCTTCTACGACTGGACCGAGGCCCTCCGACATTGGCCATCAACCGGCTAAAAGAGGAAACCACCATAGCGTCCTTGTCCGCCAGGTTACGGAAAATCTGGTCCCGCCAGCTAAGCTTGCTAACCCCAAGGTACTGGGCAGTACGAACAGTCTGCTCGACCTAAGCCTGGTGTCAATCCGTTTTTTGATAATATCACAATCTCATTTTGCTCAAAGCGAGTGAGAGACCGTGGTCTGCCATCCATGCGTTTATGGTATGCATAACTCGATTCAGCTTTAGCTTAGCGAGCTCAACGCTACGTGCAGCTATCAAAGCCGCAACGTCGTCTGCGTACCCAACCAAAACAGTTTCCTCAGGCATTTCAGACCTCATAAGGCTGTCATAAGCGACATTCCAGAGGTCTGAGCCGAGTACGGAACCTTGGGCAGCACTGGAAGTGACACTCATCATCCGTGGGCCTTCTGTAGTGTCATACATGAGGAGGCCGAACCGGTGATAATCCTCTATGATACGCATGAGGTATGCCGGAACGTTGAAGGTGTTCTCCAGAGCATCCAGCATATTGCAACACCTTGCGGAATTAAATGTGTTTTGCACATCGAGTGTTGCGAGCAGCAAAACCCAGCAAGAGTATTGGTTAAAATCCTCAGCTCTCATCATAGCTTGCTTCACCTCCTCAATAGCATCAATTGTAGATTGCCCCATCCTGAATCCATACTGACGAGGGGACAGGTCCCCCGCAGCGACCACGGCTGAATTCAGCCGGGAACAGATCAACTTCTCAAGGACTTTGCCAGCAGAATCCAACATACATAGAGGTCTGTAAGAGGATGGCAGGTCTGGGTTTCCCTTCCCCTTCCCAACAAGCACAAGCCTAGCTGTTTTCCAGCACAAGCGCAAAACTCCTTCGACTAGGCAGGCGTTGTACAAGCTCAAAAGGATCAAGGGGTTAGTACAGTAGACTCCCTCTTATCCGGTCTCCTCGGGACCGTGGCCAGTCCGGATAACGGGGTTTCTGGTTAATCCGAGGTCCCCGAAAACTCGTTAAAACGGACCGTTTACTATGATATTCGACTTAAATTTAGGAGAGCATTGTATTTAGACACGTGATCACTGGTCTCAAATCTTTTCTATGAGAAAAGTCATTTCAGTACCGCCTACTTCCTGCCGATCTATTCCGGTTAAACTAATGTGCTGATAAAAATTGTCCGGTTAAAGAGATGTCATTTCCGTTGAGTGTAGTCCGGTTTTACTGATGTCCGGTTAAAAGGTGTCCAGGTAAGAGGGAGTCTACTGTAGTCAAAACCTTCACGAGGACTTCGCCAGGCACCCCATCGAGTCCAGGAGCCTTATTGTTCTTCAGGGATAGGACGGCCGCCTCCATCTCTCCAAGACTGAAAAGTGGTACGTCATCCACCCTTCCGAAATCCCACAGTGGGCGCAATGTGCAAGCCGGGAAAACGGACGACTATCCTCTCTATAGTGGCCCCATCCATGACGGAAGGTGGAGAGCGGGTGCCAAGTTTCTTGTTAACAAGTTTGTAACCCAGGCCCCATGGGTTGGAATCGACATCGTCCCTTAATGACTCCCAGCAACTGTGTTTACTCCGGTTGATGGCTCGACGAAGAGACCTCCTAGCCACTCTGCAAGCATCCGACGTCTGTCTACAGGTTCTCTGGTCCTGGTAGCAAGTCTTCTGGCTCTCAATGCCGCTTGACGCAATTCCGCGATCTCGGCAGTCCACCAGTACACAGCTCGCATATTGCCCCGGGATCTCCTGCGAGACATAAACTCATTTCAAGCCGAGACGATCAGCCCCTTCATGGATGTAACTAACGCCTCTGCGTGTGCCACGCTAGTTGCAGAAGGAACCACCGGCATTCCTCGTAAGATGGCTTCATTCAACTCATTGTAAATATGACTGTTATTCGTTTTGAAATGACTTCTGTAATACTTTGCTATTGCTCAAATTCGAGCAACATGTTCACTAGTTAATTATTATTCCTGTTCCAAAGCCTAATATAACACTTTTTACAAAAACTTATACATACACAGCACCTAGACTTTTTAACAAATTAGCCTACCAAAAACATAAAACAAATTAAAAGGATAAAAAAATTCCAGAAACGTGTAAAAGAATGGCTCCTGAGCCAAAGTAAAGATGATGTAGAGGCCCTACTTGAGATTGTCCAGTGAGCTGTATTTGAAATTTTTTTCTGTAATGTCAATTATTGTTATTTTGTAAGTCATTTTACTTTTTGTACTAGGTACCTACCAATCTTATTAACTCCATGAAGGATAACTTTATTTACAATAATGTTTTAGTCATTTAAAGTCCACAAGAAGTATTGTTTATGTTTGTTTGATTTAAAAATACTCGTATTTGATATAATCTAGGTAATTGTCTGCCACCGCAAAGGAATTCTATACTACCAATCTTATTAACTCCATGAAGGATAACTTTATTTACAATGATGTTTTAGTAATTTAAAGCCCACAAGAAGTATTGTTTATGTTTGTTTGATTTAAAATCACTCGTATTTGATATAATCTAGGTAATTGTCTGCCACCGCAAAGGAATTCTATATTTTAGTTAGTCATCAAATTATGATGGAATCCTAAGACAGGCATAGCCTTTGGGACCCTATATTCCTCTCTTTGATGTATTATAAATATTTTTTTTTCCTAGGACGCTAGGTCTGAGCCTGGGATTGTTTTTCACATTACTTCAGGCTAGACCTATGGGTTTGTGGCAATATCACTTAGATAAAATCCATTGATGACTTGGCGGGAATTGAACCCGGGACCTCAGGGACCGAAGTGCTGTGCTCTAACCACTACAACAGCTCGCTCCCTGATGTATTATATTAGAGTATAGATGTTGTACAATATATAGTTGATTTATATAAGTTCGTATTTTGTATAACCAATGTACATGAGGCCTACATTGTAAGAAATTGAGGAAATAAATCATTTAATCATTTATATGGGAAAATATAGCAAGTCGGTGTTGGTGAGTGATGAGTGTTTAGTTTTGGTGCCGTTTGAGTGCACTGGTGTCAACTCAATGTTTCACTCTTATTTAAGGGTAGATTTTACAATATTTATGCACTCTTTATTATAGTTTTCATAATTTGGAAGGCTGTATTGACAATAAATAGAAATTCCACTGAAACTTAAATAATAAAAACAAAAATTAGTTGTAAAAACATGGTTTTCTTTATATTCCTTTTACAATCTAAATAGACTAGGGTATACTGAGCCATGGCTCGGTCTCCCGGCACTAGAAGTCAAAAATAAAGCCCTGCTTCTACAGGGTGAATAAAAAGTCAAGACCCCCCCCCTCTAATATTTTTCCAAATAAATATACAGAGATATCCTTTTGGTGGTCGAGCAATCTTAGCAGGAAGTTTCATTTTATCATTTTGAAATTTTTGAGTGTCCCCCCAAAAGGGGGTATTTGGGGGGCAACTCAAATATTTTAAATGTAAACCCCCTTCAAGTGACACCTCATTTTGAAGTGTTAACAAAAGCTTAAAGAATGGTGAAAACTAGAGGTCACTATCTCTTCTCTATCCAAAATGGTAGCCCGTCAAATGTTGTGGAAAATCAACGGTAAAATTGTTAATATTGACTGCCATTTTGGATAGAGAAGAGATAGCAAGCTCTGGTTTTCACCATTCTTTAAGTTTGTTTAAGCACTTCAAAATGAGGTGTCACTTGATAGGGGTTTCTATTGAAACATTTTTAGTTGTCCCCCGAATCCCCCCTTTTGGGGGACACTCAAAAATTTTAAATGTAATTCCCCTTCAAGTGACACCTCATTTTGAAGTGTTTACAAAAACTTAAAGAATGGTTAAAACCAGAGCTCGATATCTCTTCTCTATCCAAAATGGCAGCCAATATTAACAATTTTACCGTTGATTTTCCACAACATTTGACGGGCTACCATTTTGGATAGAGAAGAGATAGCGACCTCTAGTTTTCACCATTCTTTAAGTTTTTGTTAACACTTCAAAATGAGGTGTCACTTGAAGGGGGTTTACATTTAAAATATTTGAGTTGCCCCCCAAATACCCCCTTTTGGGGGGACACTCAAAAATTTCAAAATGATAAAATGAAACTTCCTGCTAAGATTGCTCGACCACCAAAAGGATATCTCTGTATATTTACTTGGAAAAATATCAGAGGGGGGGTCTTGACTTTTTATTCACCCTGTATAGGTCTGCTGGTTCTCGAGATTTGAGTAATCATGCAAGTGGACGGCAAATACCCATTCATTGAAATGGATGATGTTTTTAGCCTCTGGGGGCGTTAAATATAAAGTGAATCAGTCCTAGATGTACCGGCAGGTCTTATCATCAGACCTACAGTAGGTAATAGCTTATTCCATATAGAATTAATTTGATAAACAAATATCAAAAACCAACTAGCCTATAGTTATTTTTATTGGGCAATTATATTTGATGTAGGCTTTACTGAAATAATTCAACTTACTTTTAAAATAAGGTCCACTGAGTTTGTCAAAGTAGTTTTGCAAGACAGATTTTGATATATTGCTGTCACCTTCATATGGGCTACCAAGACAGTCCCCTAGAAGTGCTCCAACCAAGCAACCCCTAACTTTGCTAGTTAGCAAAGCACTATCAATAACTGCTGCTGCACCAAACATGTTTTATCTTTTATGGAATTTATAACACCAGATTAAATAATTTAAAACTAGTTCAAAATGTAGTTTGCTGAAGGATTTTCTACGACCTTTACTAATATAATGAGTTGCTTTTGGGTTGACAGTAAAACCTGAAACAAAAAGAATGAAAAGTAGACAGTTATCTTAATTTATATTTTTGGAGAAAAGTAAAACGTGTCAGTAATTCTGTTTGTTAAAACTTTTGGGTACTTTCTTGTTAAAGGGAACATTCATTATTAGGCTATCAATGATTTTATCAATATATCAATATTTTAATTTTTCTTTACGATCCATGTTCCTTCTGCTTTAATATCTTCAAAAACATTTAAATTACAAATTTACAACTGATCTTGTTCAGACAAAAATAATATACCGTAAATATATTGAAACGGATCTAGACTAACTTAACATAAAAACTTGCTGTACCATTTCAAAATTCCGCTTGATAACATCAAAGGCATATGGAGAATATCCAGGGGCGGCTCCAGAGGGCAGGCCAGGTAGGCCCGGGCCTACCCAAAATTTTGGTAGATGATTCAAAATTAGAAAGAAATAAAGCAATGTAATCTATATATTAACACGCAAGCAGTTTTCTTTTCACAGTCATAACTCGGTAACTGCTTGGTGGGTTTTAACGTTTGAGGTGTCAAATTAAAGGCATTTTGACGTAGATGTGCAAACACGTCGCAAAATATTAATAAAGGGCATCACTTAGGTACAGTTAAGGGCTATAGTTTCGGAACGGTGGCGCTATCTGTTGGCATTAGATCAAACTTAATTCCCTTTGTTTACAACTAAACATATGGACGTAGATTGAAATAGTTCATAACGTTAACCACAGACTGCAGGACTTATGCTTCCAGAGCAAAGCTGGAATTTAAATTTTGATTTTAACATTTGTTATCTGTTATGTCTGGTTCATAAATAAAGAGTTTCCTGGCAACACTTGGCAAAAAATTGTTTGTATGAAGGAGTTACATTTACATTGCATTTTACTGAATTATAATGTACAGTAGCTTTGGTTATAGTTCAGTGTGATGAAGTGAATGTTTAAAAGTTATTATGCGCAGTGCAGTTACCAGTTACATTACCATATTATAAATTTACAATTAATTTACAATTTTTTATAATTTACAATGTGTATCATAACTGCTTTGTAGTGTTGTTTTCTGTTGTTTGGTTAACACTTTACAGTAAGTGGTTGGCATATATAGGGTTCCCGCAGTTATAAAAGTTAACACTTACAGTACATAAAAATTAACCAAAATTGAATGAGAGCGGATCTATTAAACATTGTAGATTGATTTTATATATTTTTTATAACATAATATTAGCGAATTTTCCTATAGGGAAGAAGCTATTACCCCTAGGTAGGTGGCATGGTAAGACCTACACCCGGGACCAATTTACTATTTCATTTTGATGTCCCCAGAGGCCAAAAACACCATTTGTTCAATTTTTATCTTTTATATATATATATATACGTCCGTGAACTTGAGTAATTTTTGTCCGATTTTGATGAAATTTGGTTTAAAGGTGTAAAGCCGGATAAACTTGAATGAGATTGCAAACCAGCATGATCGGACCATGGGAACGGGGATTTACAGGTTTTATGGGGTAAAAATTGGTTTTTCTCACTTTTGACCCTCAAAACACAAAATTTCCCAATTTCTCTTTAGACCTTTAAGAAGTGATTAAAAAAACAAATAATTTAGTATATAAAGTATTTTTGTTCGGTTATTGGTAACGGAGAAAATTTTAAAAATTGTAAATTTAAAATTCCCATGTTATTCTTATGGAGAATATTGTAAAATGTTGTAGTTTGCTTATTTATTTTATACTAAGCTATCAATATTTTACAAAAAAAACACACTTTATTAGTTTCCTAGTAGCAGCAAACCTAGGTACTCCTTAAACCTAATGTTATATAAATATATTTAATTGAAAATCAATTCAGACAAATGGAAATTCGCTTAGTCGGCAGGTTTGCTGCGGCGGGGGTATTTTTCATATTTGTATATAACCAGCCTTTTAAAACTTAAGAGTGACTCTTTGATTGAGGTCTTGCTGTTTATTTTTTAGTTCTTTATTCTTTTATTATAAGTTGCAGTTTAGCTCAAATTCGAGCAACATGTTATCTAGATATATGTAAATAAAGGGAAAGCATTTAAACTAATTATTTTGCATTAAAATTTTAAAATTCCCCTCTTTTTGTGGAAAAGCCCTTCAAACCTCTCGTCCCCCGATCAAACTCTTTTTTGATCCTTGCCAGGCCTACCCAAAAAATTATTTCTGGCACCGCCCCTGGGAATATCAAACGGAATTTTGAAACGTTACAGCAAGTTTGGTTGATTAAATTAGGCTAGTTTAGAACAGTGTCATTTCAATATGACATTTTTTTTTATTGTTTGTTGATACTGAACAATATTTAATTATCGTAGTTGTCAGCCGACATGTTTCAATTCGTTAATAGCCTATAGTTGTATATCGGATCAAAAAATAAAATATCGATTCATCGAAAAAATCATTGATAATAATGAGTGTTCCCTTTTTAACAGGAAAGTACCAATTTTTGCACTGTTGTTATAGATCTTACTAATATTATAAATGTGAAAGTTTGTGTGTTTGTTTGTTTGAAGTTCAATCACGCATTTTTTACTGGACGGATTGGGCTGAAATTAAAAAAAAAAAACAAATAGGTTGGTTCTATGATAAGCAAAAGCATCAAAAGTTATAAGATTTACCAACAGGGTGCAGCACTAAGTATTACTTTTTTGCATTTATGTAAACAGCTAATTTGAACTAAGCAGCAACAAAAACTGTGATACGTAATGAGAACTGTCAAAGTAGGATTGTTTACACATATGTTTACATTTTTAATGCCATGAATAATTTGTGATATTTTGTTATGGCTATGGTAGATGTGTAATATTATAGTATACCGTAAATTTAAAGAGGCAAATTTGATCAAACTGTGTCCTCATCCATTGCAAAAGCAAAGCCTGCGTATAACTGCAATAAGCATTTTTATGCCAACCCCGTACGAAGGACGGGTACTCTGCTAGTATTGTCATAATCTTGTTATATTAATCTTTTCTAAATAGTCAGCTGTTAGTAAACATTAATTAGTTGACTTATTGTTACTTTTGTAAACATTGCATTACAAACATCTATGGTGTTAAAATAAATACTGTAAATACCATTTACAATGTACGTGTATTTCAATACTACGGTCACAACTCTTTTTGGCGACGAGTAAAAACTGAAATAATGACATTTTACATGTTCAAATAATCTTTAATTATTCAATCTGTTTCAATCATTCAACCTACACTACTTTCATCACATTTGACTGAACCACAAGGGATGCTGGCCAGTTCAAGGAATTATTACAAGTTTTTCAACAGCAACAACAAGAACAGTTTCAACAATTATTCTCACCTTTCACGAGAAGTCGTAGGTATCAGTAAGTCTTACAAATAGGCTATTGCTCCATTTGAAAATTTTGAACCTAGACGTGAAAAGTTTTCTAATTGTCTAGAACGCTTTGAAAATTACTATACTCTGAAAGGCCTGACTCAAAAGGAAAGTATATTGCTCAACGTGTACCTATTGGGTCAGTACATTACAATGCTCTATCAGCTTTTCTAGGCCCAGAGAAACCAATCAAAAACTTACCTTACAATGATCTTGTCAAAGTTTTAACTCAAATGCTTGTTCCTAAGAAAAATGTAGTCGTTTCTCAACATTACTTTTTAAACATTTATCAAAAGAATGGTCAATCAATATTAGATTACTTAGCCTCACTTCAGCGAGGCTTAGTCGATTGTGAGTTTACAATTAAAATGTGAATGCGAGAAAACAAATTCAATCTCTGATGTATTTTTACGAGTCCAGTTCATCTGTGGCCTTCGAGATGATTGGCTTAAAGAACATATTTTACAATCAAATCTCTCTAGTTTTGACAAAATACTCATCAAGGCTATTGCTTTAGAGGCATCAAAACTTGACAGCAAAGAACTTTCTAAACCTAATCAGACATCAAGTTTTAACAATTTTACTTCTACCGAGTCTACTAATGTGATTTCCAGCAGTTACAGAACTTCCAGAGACCGTTTGAAAGATCCAGAAAACAGAAGATTAAACTCAGACAGCAGATCTTTACCTAAAAACTACAAGTCTAGATCCCTACTTTCAGAAAGTGATTTCAAGAAACTCGAGCTTGGCCTTCCCCTACGGAATTATAATTATATTAGAATTATAATATACATATTTATGATATAAAAAAATTGATATAACATGTCTTATAAGGTTGACTTCCCAACTAGGATTACTGATAAATCTGCTACTGCAATTGATAACTTTATTACAGTACCAATATTTTTGAAACAAAATTAAATGTCTCAGGTGTTATTACTCATGTCTCTGATCATGATGCTCAATTGCTTGAAATACAAAATGTTAATAGTACAAACAAAAAAGTACGGTAGTGAAGAGGTTATGCAAAAGTATACTGAAAATAATTTTAAAATGTTCCTTAGGGACTTAAGTAATGAAAACTGGTATGATGTTTATCAATCTTCCGTGGATACAAAATTTAATGTCTTCATGTCTACTTTTAGTCACATTTTTAACATTAATTTCCCAAAAATAATGTGTATAGAAAAAGTATCAAATAAATGTAAATGGAATTCAAATGAAATAATAAGGAAAAAAGTGAAATTCATGAACTAGTAACATATACTAGAGCAAAAAGGAATTCACTGTTATCTAAAACAATAAAAGTAAAGAAAAAAGAGTTAAAAGAATTAATAAACGGTGCTAAACAAACATTTTACCAAAATAAATTTAGAAAATCTAGGAACAGAACAAAAACCACATGGAATATAATAAAAAATGAGATCTCACTAAGATCAAAACAAACCATCCCATCCAAAATAATCTTAGTTCAAAATGATAACCAAATATCAGATCCTGTTGCTGTGATTAATGTTTTCAACAATTTCTTCACAACTGCTGTTGAAAAGCTTATTTTCCAAACATTGATTCAACATCGAATCATAACATTCTCACTAAAAAAAAGTGACTGCCATGACAAACGTTTTTAAAT